AACCAGGGCGGGGCGACTAAAGAGCCAGGGCCCGCAGGGGGTTCGCATGCGTATTATTCTCCAGATGCAGCACTACCTTCAGGGTGAGTTAGACGCCTGTTCCTCGGCTCTAGGGCTAACGCCTGATTTTATGAACAACCAACAGCTCGCCAGGCGACCTACGACCCGCTCAAGGAGCGGCACAACACCGCACCGCCAGTGGAGGTTCGATGGACACTCATAACCAAAGGTCTGAACGTGCAATGGGTTCTCATGCGCATGTCGAGCATCACCAGATGGCCAACAATTTCACCACCGGAGGCAAGCACACGGAAAACCAGAACCACCAGAACCAGCACCAGAGTCGGCCAGGCGAGATAAGGAGGACCCCAAGCGCTGAACAGGCACCATCCAGCTATCTTCAAGGGAATCTCGACCCTCGAGGGTTCAGTGGTCCGTCTCTATCCCCCGTGTAAGTAAATCAGGGGCCCCGACGGAATTTTCAACAATTAATTCGTGATTGACAGGCCGGAGAACCGTCAGTCCCGAGCACCATCCCGTCTTCAGATCTCAACGACTCCGACGCCTTCTAATCCGCAGTCGGGTCAGCCTCGAGGGAATACGATGACACAGGGTAGCAGCTCGCATCATGACAGGCGCAGGGAATCGGGGGAGTCTGAGAGTCGTAATCCCAGGCAGGAGCCTCCCGCCGAAGCGCCGCTCCCAAAGAGACGCAGGTCTTCCGCGTACGTCCGACATCGCTATACCCGCATGCCCTTTTCTGATAGATGCACAGACACCGGCGTGACCCTTCTCATACGCACTCACCAGGTTCGGCTTATCCTCCCGAACCAGAGCATACCACTTGTCATCCCCGGCGGAGCGACAAGAGCTCAGCTTCGGCAGACAGGGATTACTTTCCGCACACATATACATCGAAGTAGGTGCAAAGCTACCACTAATTCGATGCTGGGTAGGATCTCTAGTATGCTTCGCCCCGGCATTGCGATCGTTTTCGTCTCCGGCTTGTTGATTTTAAATGCCTTTCTTTTTTGTCTCCTCGGCGCTCTGTTCTCAGGCTCCTCAGCGCCCTATGCCTTCCTCATCTCAAAGAGCCAAGCCACCTCCATTGAAGCCACCCCCGTCTCCACCTTGTAACAGTACCATGCGGAGTTTGTGTTTGACCCGTATTGTCTTTATGCAACTAACTTGTGTTTCTCGGAAGGGATTGTACTTAGTATTTCGGTTTCTCAATCTTCGTCTATGCTGTATAGTAAAGCCTCTATTTCTCATCTCGATTTGCTCATCGGGCATCGCAAAACGCCTGGTGAATTCCCCATCAGCGCCATTGGCGGACAAGAAGCTCAGATACACACAGCACACAACTGAACCCATGGGTAGACCTAAAGTGCAATATGCCTGAAGGAACACCGCAGAGCTAGAGCTCATTGGAGATTCCAACTTGAGGTGATTGAATAACGTTGCATTTCCGAGATGCGCAGACAGAGGAAGTTAAGCGAGACAACGCGGGATTCCGCCTCGATTGGAGACAAATGGGTCCTCACCAGCCGAGCAAGAAATACTGAGAGTACGCACAGCTGCACAAAGTGACTTCGCCATGTTGTATTGCTGAAAGATGCGAATGGAGGGTGTACAGATGACGGTGATACATCAGGAGAAAGAGTCGAGAATATACAAAAATACAGCAAAACATGCAACGTCCAGAGCACACTGGCGAGCAACTGTAACATAATATGAATCCTGAAGTAGCAAGTCTGATAGAACTGGGCTTTCCACAGGGAAGGTGTGTTTATGCAAAAGTGCTCAGAAGGGATTCGGCCCAATGCGGAAGTGACGGGCTTACATCAAGTCGCAGCCAAGGATGGCTCAGCAGCGCCGACGCAGACAGGCGGTCTGCAGGCTCAAGACGAATACAATCCCGAATGAAGCTCGCTGCAAGCCCAATCTCGTCCTCGGGAAGAGTCTTGTAGGTGGCTAGCACATCTTCGAGAAGCACGTAATACAACTCAGGAACCCTGAGGAGGTCACCTGGACAGATATAAGGGCCGGATACGGAGCTAATGAGGATAGGCTGACCGTTCGAGTCGAAGTATGTACTCGCGAGCTCTGCACGCTGGAGCATTGTGGGGCTGAAGTGCTCTCCGGTGAGTTCCATCATCTTCGCCAGGTGGTCATCCTCCAGGCTAAAGTCACCGCCGCCACCTTCGGGATGGAAAAGCCATCTGCCAATAAGCATCTCAAAGGTCTGGAAGAGAAACGGACATAAAGTGAACATCCAACGGAGGAGGCCGGGCAACTCACTATGCAGCCGATCGCCCAGATGTCAATGCTAGTCCCGAAGTCAGAGCCAAGAACGACCTCAGGCGCGCGTTGAGAGTAGGCCCTGAATTGCTCTGCGGGCTGCTTACCGAATCTCCCTGTGCACTGGGCTGTTTCAAACATCAGTGAGCGTGAGCCCTGTCGCGCAAGTGTGTGGTCCTACGTTGCCCAAGACCTGTTAGCGCGATTCTCATGTTTTTCACCCTTTCCAGAGGATCGTCCCACTTGAAATCCGGAGGCAGCGGGTAGGAATTGTCGTCCTGATCCTCAGGAAGCGTCTTCAGCCAGTGATCGATAGCTTCTGGGCTCATCTCAGTACGAAGGAATATATTGTCTGGTCTTATGTCTACGTGCTGTGAGTTTGCTAACAGGGGGTATGGCGTATGACTACGCACCCCTGTGAATGATACCCAATTTATGCAAGTGTCCGAGTGCCTGGAGAACCTGCTTGACGATGACTTTGACCGTGTGGACAGGCAGCGCTTTTCTTGGGGCGCTGCGTCGGAAGGCGGCCACGTCCTGCCCGTACACGTCCGTAACGAGGCAGAGGTGAGAATGCTTTCGCGAAAGGGGTATCTCGAAATCATCAATGAGGGTAGGAAGGTGTTGCGTCGGTCCGACGTCTCGAATAGTCTTCATAGCCTCAACCTCGGGCATCACGTTCGCGCGATGTTGGCTGGTCGCATCGAGCGTGAGGATCTTTACTGCGTAAAATCTCTCAGTGCCCTCTCTGCTGAAGAGATATCAGTGGGCAGTCGCAAGACAAAGTATGTGCGTTTTACGAAGCAGCTGTATCACTCACGAGCCACGTACTTGACCATACGCCGGCTCCCAGTTTCGTCGCTACACGGTACCGCTTCTCTAGCTTCTCGTGCCTACGGGCAGGATAATAGTCTGGGAGGGGCTCGAAGGCAATTTTACAGCCTAAGAACGCGAGAATGTTTGCTGCCAAATTAGAGGGTACAAGACTGAGGGAGACAAGGGTGAGGTATGGGATGAACGCGGCAGTGAGCGATAAAATGTCCATCATCATGTTATCGTTTTCAGATGCTTACCAGGCCGTCATTGGAACAGTGCCTTGCTACGTGGACTACAAGGACTACGCTATACACAGTAAGAGAGAATGTAAAGAGGAATAGAGGTGCAAGGCGCCGCTCACTGTCAATCTTTGTTTGGCTGCTAAGGTGCACGAGGTTGAGCCTATTGGCATTTGCTGTGCAATAGCCTTCAACTTGAAGTTGGTGCTTACGCTGCACCGTCGCGAGTGCTGCTGCGAAGTAAGCTTTATCTATGGGTTATTCTGCATAATCAAGCTTATCAAGCTTAGCATCGTTGAACCACTGGTGGGACGTTATGCACAAGAACAAACTGGATCAGACATCCGGGCGCCAGCACAATCGCCACAGCATCGTGGCGAACAAGCAAACGACCGGCTCGAGCCAGGCAGACACGCAGAGGCAGAACCATCTCTGGGAGATAGCTAATATTGACGGTGGCAGCAAGGGCACTCGGACTTTGTGGCGAATGCTTCCTCCACGAGCGGAGATCATCTGAGATTTATTGTTTTAGCACCGAAGTGAACACCATCAACATAGCGAATCTCCGACAGGCGTAGCGCCGTAGCGCCGTAGCCGCTCGCGCGTAACTGCCTTCGCACTTTTTCGTAGCACTCTTCTTGTGTCTGCGGAGCAGGCTGCTCGGTGAGGCGTTAGCATCTTTATGCGAGACTTGAGAACAAAGAGTAGCGCTCACTTCAGACCATGATGCGAATGCCGAATAATTCAAGTTTTACACCCCGGGTCCCCGAGAAGATGCTCCTGCTTCTATATGGATATAGGAACGAGAGTTTACTCCTCGCATAGTTTATGAGGTTGGCTCATAAGTCTGATCTGTCTCCTGATCGCTAATACCTCCTCAACGCTCTGCCTATCTCGTCCCCAGTCTCTCCGCGCCACGGAGATGTCTCTGCCGTACCAGACATGGCATGTATGATCTTGTGTTTCACCTGCTCTCCCTCTGTACAATTAACTTGTTCTTGGGAAGGGGTGTACTTGTAGGCTACAGCTGCATCATGCAGAGTATGTCTGACTACATTCTATGAATTTTTAGCCCAGAGGTTGGCACCGTAGTTTGGATCTGAATATCACCCATATGCCGTCAGCCCTTTGTGGCGGAGTCTGAGAGCTCCCGCGCGTTCGCTGGCATTATACAACATCTGTTCTGCCTCAGAGTGAGCACTTAGGCTAGCGGCTACAGCTTTTGGAGCCCTGAAGGAGAAAGGTGCACACAATGGTGAGTATCCAAGAGCATCCAACTTAGACTGAACGTTGAACATTGAATCTCGTAAAGTTCTCGTATCAGATGATTACGCCGCTGAGACCTTCGGATCGCTGCGCCGCAGTATCTTGCCAGTCCAACAGGTTGGCCATACTCCGGTGATCTATGCTGCTAGAGTCACGAGCCCCTCAGCCAGATTGCTCTCACGGGACAGGTACGCTACAGACGTTTGGAATGATATCATGCTTACTCAGTTAGGGTCTCAAGGTTCAGCTAGCACTGGCATGCCATCGAGCGCGAGAGGTCCCACATGCTTGCCCACTTTTTCCATTGGAGACAGCGCAACATTGAACATGTCCTCTAAACTCTGACAGCCGCGGTCGTCTAACCATCTGTGCATGGCAAAGTGGCCGAGGGTCCTCTATATGGTAGGTACTGGTCTGTGCGATACGGTTCAGGGAGGACGTCTATGGAGTCGAGACCCTCCAGCCGGGAGACATTGCGTTACCGCAGGCAGGAGCTAGTGGTCCCTGTGCGGGTCGTGCAGTGCTGCAATTATCCACGGAAGTGTTTCTGGTGGCAAAGGCCGAAAGGCTCCTAGGACTTCCTAGGACGCTCAAAGCGTGGTTCAGGGTCTGATCCGTATGGTTTCGTGGCAGAGCATATGCAACACTATGCGATAGTATAGTCATATCGTTACGGCATCCTTACTTACACCGTCAAAGCCTTGATCATGAGGGGCTCGTCGCAGAGCTCATATAAGGGGCTATCACGCGAGTCTTTGTCTGCAGGGAAGTCCGAACACCCACACCTAAGGTGCGCCCTTGGTCTCCTTTCCGAACCCTCGCTACTCACCTTCTCGGTAGAACTCAGCATGACCACCTACGGAAATCCACAGACCGGACTCCTCGTTGTGTGGACTGATCCTGCGAAGGAAGAAGTGACAGCCATGGCAAACGAAGAACGTTTTGGCGGGAACGCCGTAGCGTGGCACGAGCAGAAGGTGCGCAAATACGCGGAAGAAAAAGATATTAAGGCCACCAAAGGTCGAATTAGGTATCACTACTACCTAACCTTTACGCACTATACTGATTCATCGATGCAGGAAGCCAGCTCATATCGGCGGCGTCGATCCTACGGAGCGCGAGCATATCACCGTGACGTTCAAACTGGGCAGCAAGGACCTCGGTGCACGCCATGTCTACACTGATGCCAAGTAAACCAGAGGGGATTTGACACTGGATGCTAAGTCCGGTAGATTCTCGCCCACGGTCGTGCATACGCTAGTCATTCCCCTCATACATGCGCTTCATTCTGGCTACCGTCGTTCTGCGTTTGAATTTTTACTCGTGTCCGTCTCCATCCCCAGTCTCGATCGCTGTGCTCGTGTCATTTACCAAAGACCACCTGCGATGTGCCTGTATACTACCGATTAGCTCTGCTTGCTTGATGCTTAGTGACTGCGGTCACCGCACATTACGCTCGTAAAAACTCGAACCTCTTAAATTCTGAAAGGACGGTACGGCTTTTCCTAGTTGATCGTACCCCTAACACTCAATACTCAGTCTTCTCCACCCTACTCGAGCTCTTCGCTTAAATGCCTCCAAGACTCTTGCGTTCGTATCGTTTACTGTAATAAATGAAAAACGCATGTGATGCGCTCGTATATCAGTATTTGATGTTATGTAGCTCTCAGGCTGCCCGTTTGGCGCTTTGGCTTCCTTGCGACTTGCACACTAGTACTGCCCGCCTCTCGGCACTGAAAGCTGAAGTATTCGATCGCACCCTCTGCACACCGGGACGGGCGAGCTCTTCTCTCGTTGATAATTCAAATACATATACAAGACACCGCACCACTCAGCATGTCCAGCAGCAGTCCATCGAGCGGGCAACAGGACGCAGGGCTCATCGTCGAGTGGATCGAGCCCGCAAGGGTGCAGGCACAGCACATGGCGGACGAGCCACGCTTCGCGGGCGATGTCGTGGCCTGGCACGAGAAGCAGGTGCGCGCATACGCCCAGCAGAGCATCCCTCGTGCGACGCGAGCGCGGATACGGTGCGCCTGTCTGCGGTGGCGAGGACATTTGTATGCGCGAGACTGACGACGCCGTGCAGAAAGTGCGCACACCACTACAGTGGTGGCAATGAGCCTGAGCACATCACTGTCAGCTTCAAGCAGGGGAGCAAGGAGCTGGGCGCATACCATGTCCACACAGATCGGACCTCTTGAAGCTGAGGTTGTGTCGATGTGCCGGACCCTGTATTTACATTTCACGCTGCTGTGTCCTCTCTAGATATTCGCCTACGTACGCGAGCATGATTTGAGTATGCCACGATACTGAGCAAATTCCTTGACAGCATGCTAGTCTATCATGTCTACAGCGACTAGGCAGACCGTCATACGCAATCCTAGGGTGACGTCCCGGCCAGCTTCACTCTGGAAGCAGATGGGTATGTCATTGTTGCAAGATAGCGGCGACTTAGTAAGTACAGGTGTGGTCGGAGGACGACAATCACAAACAGTGGTGGTTCCTGTGGCAGAACCGGCCTAATCAAAGATTCAAGCACGATGGTAGATGCAAAAAAAAGATATAACTGACACAATATATGTACGACAAAAAAGGGTGACGCGAAGGGGCGGTAAGTGCGTGGATGATGTAACGCAGACGGAGTCACAATGATGCAAAGAGGGGTAACGATGGACAGCAAGTCAGAAAGCAGCTTCATTAACAGAACTACCTCTGTGTCGAATCTCTAGAACAATGTCGAGCTAGGAAGTTAGGTCCGTAGCGGCCGTTCCCTGCCCAAGAATTTAAGCCAGAGCGACATATGCAAATGCAGCAGATAATATTGCGCAAACTGGGTCAGAGCGTAGCCTCCTGCGTGGCGGCGGATTAACTCGTGGACAGTGGCGGTGCTGCGCGGAGATGAATCCAGGGTGCGAGCGGTGATGGAGTCTTGGGCGGCGAAGCTTGACGTCAACACGGACTCGCCGTCCGCAGAAGAGGTCGGGACCGCTTCGGAACCGAGTCAGTTCTCGCCGTCGACCTGTATCCATGGCACGGGTTCCTCCACAGGGGTGCTCGTGCCCGAGCTCGACTCAGAATCGCTGTTATCGTCCTGTGGCGCGTTTTCCTTGTTCTCCAGGTCGACAGGGACCACGGGTGGGGGCACGACAATCCCCAACTTGCTCTGCTCAGCAACCAGCTTGGCCGCCTCCTCCTCTGCCTTCTTTTTTTCGGCGGCTTGCTCGAGGAGCTCTTGACGACGCTTCTCGCGCTGAAACCAAGCGAACAACAATGAGTACCGCTTTTGGAAAGCGAGGCTTGAAGCGCCGGCAGATGCCGAGATAGCCCATCGATACTCACCGCCTGTTTTTCTTTGAGCTCGCGTTCCTTCTTCAACCGCTCCCTCAACTCCCGCTCAGTGATGACCCACGCAGCGGCCCCATCTGCAGCTTTCTCTGGGCTCGACTTGCTTTTCAGCAAATCTGGGTTCGACTCTGGTCAGCGAACTCGGCGGCAGCAGCAACGAGCAACTGGACTTACAGCCTTGAAGCGCGGCGACACTGAATTCCTCATCAGGCATCGAGTCAGCGAACTGCTTGGCCAGCTTGGACAACGTTTCGCCATCGAGTGGAGGCGCGGTATGCTTGAAGGCCGCTATGTCCTCCTCCACCGAAGGCGGAAGATAGGCCTGGTTCTTCAAAGCGTCGAGCGGGTTCGCTTTCTGTGCTCTCGGCGAACCCATGGTCGAGCTGGTCGGCGTCGACGGCGTCGAGGGGCTGGTCCATGACGAAACACTCGATGTCGCGGGGCTAAGGGCAGACAGCAGAGACGAGAAGGTTGAACTTGCCGACGACTCTACTGATGGCGATGGAGGCGTAGGGAGCTCGACGCCCTCAAGGTCGCCCTCAATAACCTCGTCGTCATCGTCCGCAGACGGGAAGAAGTTACGGAAGAGAAGCTCTGCTTGCCACTTCGATGCGTTCCGGAACTCGACCCAGACGTCCATACGACCAGGACGCGACAGCGCAGGATCCAGACGCTCAAGGTGGTTGGTTGTGCTGGAAGGTGTCATTAGCTACGTGTTGCAGTAGCGGTGCGTATATGCGTATGACTTACGCGAATAGAATACGACCTTCGCTTGCAGCTACGCCATCGAGGGCGTTGAGCAGCCCACTGAGAGTAAGAGTGTTGACGTCGGAGAGATGGTCGTTCTTGTGACGCCTGCTACGTGAGTGCGAGTCTGTATTTTCCGAAGAACTGGTTGAGTTCTTTGTTTCGGGGCTGCTCGTTGATTCATCGTCTCGAGATGTGCTCCTCGTGAAAGCGGCATCGAGATCTTCAAGCAAGACGATGCATCGTGCCGGGACGCGGCCCATGAGTGTTGTCAAAGTGCTATCGTTGATCCACGATGATGACAGGGAGACAACGTAGATGTCCAACATAAGTTCGCCGGCGATAGCATGGATGAGGGAGCTTTTGCCCGAGCCCGGCACGCCGTACAGCAGATAGCCTCGGCGGAATGGTATACCGCGGTCTGCATACCACTAAAAGGGATATAACGTTGTTAGCACTTAGGTTCAGACAGCCTTCGAACAGCGCGCGAACGGATCGGTCTCAGCGACGACAGGTACTCAACAGGTACGTTCGAGCGTTGCCTCAATGATAAGACTCATGACATTACCTTTTCAGATTTCAGAAAATCTTTCGTGTCCGCCAGAAGCATTTCCTTAACCCCGGGGTTGAGAACGATGGACGACATTGGTCGCTTGTGGCGCGAGTCCGTCCACCTCCAGCACCCATGGGAATCAGCGAAGTATATCTGAATACGATGTACGGCCTCAGCCTCATATTCCTTCTTCGCTTGCAACACCAGTTGCTTCAAGATGGAGTTGTTGCGCGCGACGACACTGACGGAGAGCACTTCACTGCTGCCGCCGTATGGGTCCTGCTTCCGTGTGCGACGAACGCGCAGCCAGTGACCCCTGTAGAAGATGGTGTGTGTTGTGTTCGGCGTTGGCTGGAACACTACGCGTGTCTTCACCTTTCCTGGTACATCGTCGTCGTTCTCGTCATCGTCGCCAAAGGAGTTGTCTCCCGCGCGGGTGCCGAAACCCGGCGTCGATGTCCTGGTAGTCGTCTCGAACTCGCGAGAGCGTTGCCATTCGGGTCTACGCGACAGCCACAGCATCAACCAGTCATAAGGATAATCCTCCTCCGAGAAATGTGCGGTCAGGAAGAAGGCTGCGCAGAAGGTCGAGTCAGACGGTGACGCCGCACTTGATCGTGGAAAATCGGAGCTTACAATTTATGAAGTGGGACCTGTAGCGGGACAGACGCATGGTGAGCAGAGCGGGTTCTCACACATCAGGAAGTATACTCACCAGCCTGAACTAGCCATTCTGCGAGCTGTCTCAACTGTGCCACCAAGGACAACAAGTTTCATGCCGTCAATCATCGACGAGCCTCCGCCTCCGCCGACGAGGGGCTGGACGAGAGATTTGAGTGCGTCCATCGTGGTGTTTGAATGGTCGAGGGATTGGCAGATCCAAAACTGCAGGTGCTAGAGACGTATGTATGGACAGGAGGATGGTGGAGGAGAGGAAGCAAGAGGTACGGAGACGCTGCGGTCTCGGGATGTCAGTCGAGTGGCGGTGGTATCTGGGTTCCAAATCCTAGGACCTTGCGCGAAGGCGGTACCGGATGACTTGGGCTACGGCGCTGAGATGCAAGTGTGAGCGAGCCGCGGGCAACGGCGAGGAGGGTGTGTGACTCGGGACGGGGAGCTGGTCGTCGCGGAGAAAGACGCGTCAGCGGGCGAGAGGGCGAGCTGGGGGAGCTCTTGAACGATGGGGTCCCGCGCCAGGGTCGCTTGTCGTTCCATAGAAGGAACACGAGCCCCGATGGACAACGTGGATTAATCAACGCCTCTCGGCGCCAGGCCGGCTACGGAGCCGCCACCGAACGCAGAATCTCTCTGCCACCAGTCCCGTCCTCCTGCGAGTTTACGTCGCAGGCCTAGGCTCGTGGTGAGGTGAAATACGTCAGGACACTTTATCGCACACGTCTTGCAGCTGCTAGCTCTCTCCACCCTACTCTCCCCCTCCAGGTTAAAGCTCAGACTTGCGCCCGGAGGCTTTACAAGGGCTCAGTGCCGCCACCGACGGGTGATCAGAACTGGAGCACTCTTGCTCAGATTGGACCGGGATGGGCAACGGGCATCCTCTTCTTCTCCTATTCCAGCCAAACCCAGGCGGAATGAAACGAGCACGAGTCGCGCTACGTACACAATTCGCGCTGCATATGACAGCCAGAGGCCCCGGAAGAAGCTTGCGATGCCGCCCTTTTGAGCAACGCAGCCAACTCTAGAACGCACCCAATGGGCAATACCCTCTCGGGGATGCCTCCTACTGGGCGCCAGCTGTATCACGCCAATATATACAGCTCCGTCTCGTGATAGCCCCAGGCGCACCGTGTCTGACCAAGAGAAAATGGTGCAGAGATCTCGGAAGTCCAGTTGTCCCACGCTAAATGCAAACAGCTGCACCGCGTGCACAACCATTGCTCGCGATGACGTCTCGCCGAAAGCCTCACAGCACACGCTTGACAGCCGTGTGTGCGTCCGTGCGACCCTGGGGCTTGAGTAACCGGAAACCATCCCGTCGCCCAACGGCCGCCGCGCTCCATGCGAGGGCAAGCTTAAGCCCACGACATGAATTTGCGGCGCAGCAGGGCCGCACCCTGACCCGGCGCACGCACCGTATTTTCTCGTCGGAGACAGCGAGTGCTGGCATCAGGCCCGCTATGCGTCCGCTGCATCTGCGTGCGAGTGTTTTGGTGCGAGACGCCGCGGATTAGACCCCTGGCACTTGTCGCCGTCGCCTGTACTGGCTCGCGCCTGCAACATCGTTCCTCCTTAGTCTCACAAAGTGATGTCTCAGAAATTGCATGCTCATAACGGTCTTTTTTCGGGAGGAATTTAGAGATGCGACTTCGATATGCATCATGAGTTGTGCAGTAGCGGTTAGCATTGCATGACAAATATGCACCTAAACTGCGTGAGGCTGACATAGCCCATGTGAATCTCACTGACCGTGGGGAAGACAATTATTGATGGCTGTTCCTTTACAGCGAGATCTTGTTGGCAGTGTATGCATGATCATTGCAGTCCCTTTGCACCTATGTCTAGTACGAGCAAAGCCTGATTTAGTAGGTTCAGTGGGAAGATGGCTATACCGTGTCTTCTGAAGTTTACGAACCGGAGATAAAGCTCGGTCTGTGCAGGATGTCGACGTCCACTTTCCGCAAATATCTCACACTTCAAATGGGAATACGCAGCTCGGTACAACACAACATTGAAACCTCGATTGCTTCAAGTGAAGCAACTGCCGAACCGGTGCTCGCTCCAGCACCATTTCTCAGAAAGAAGCCAATTAAGACACATGATGTCGCGCTCCAAGATCCGAGGAGCAAGAAACTGGGCACATGGTGTCAGCACACACTGAGGCAGGAGTTTCCCGACTGTTCTCTGTCTTGAAAGCTGGCCGTCCATAGCCGCTAGGCACGGGTATCTTATCTTATCTTCCGGGGTCGCGGTGCCAGTGTTAAGGTTAACGCGCCCTAGGAAGCGGCGGTCGGCGCAGGGAAACGTCGACGTAACTCAGCAGAGCGCGCAGGTGACCCTAAACGCGAGGCCAGGCGCGGCGATCCGACGCAGCTCGCGAGGACCGTGCACCATCCCGACGATCCCGACGAACGTTCGATCCGCGCTCGATCTGCGAGACGCACGGTGCGGGAGGGACCCTTGGCGGAAGTTGGAAATGCGCGACGCTGCGCACAGCAGCGGGAGAGCGTTGCAGCGGCGGCGGCGGTGGCGCTGTCAGCTGACGCGCGGCGAGGGTAGAGCGCGATTGGCTGCGATAGCAACAAGTGAACAGCGTTCTCCCGGAGTCGCAGGGAACATACGCGTTTCGTTATACGCACCGATGACACGGAGGGGAACACGCTTCGGATTCCCACCGGAGCGGACCTCAGCTCGGGGCTGGCCAGCCGCGAAGGTTTCGAGATCGCAGCAGCGAGTGCATCGCTGTCCGAGATAACCATTATGAATTATCGCCAGCCGGCCCGGACGAGAGACGTGTCGTTCTGACATGAGCCTCGAGTGGCTTGTAGGAAAGGGGAAAGGTGAAGGCGGCGTGTGGAGTGGGTTCGAGGGCCAGAAAACGACGATGCTAGTGGCGAAAGCCCAGTGAGAGATGATCCATGCGGTACGCTCGACTGGTGGGCTCCCCTTGCGCCTGGAAGGCAATTATGAACCGCACGTAAAGCACTCTTTCCAGGTACACACCGAAGATCAATACCAATGGCGATTCTTGCCATATTCACACACTAAACCTTGCCACGCTTGCTTCTGCGTGATTCTGACAGCCCAGCAAGACACGCTAGGGTGGGTATCTGTCCTGTGCGCTTCGATGCATCTTATGCATCGTCGTGAGCTAGTCATGGAAGGGCGACAAAGTTTTAACGCACAGACTCCGTGGAACTCGATGCATGGCACGAACCAGTCAAGACGGCGAGGGTCGCCGCATCCTGGTGGGCGGTAGAAAGGGTGCAGAGTCCAGAAGCTGGCATCAGGATCCAATACGGCGCCGCAGCCTTAGCAAGCCGAGGCTGCGAGTTCTAGAAAGGGTTCAGAGTTAGAGAGGAACAAGGATTAAACAAGGTGTGGCAAAGCCAAGATCCGAGTCATGGACGGTGACAGAAAATTGGCAGCATAGCAAGCTGCCATCTGTGGCGCTATCTAGGAACGATACGCCCATCGAGACCATCGAGCCTTTCGGACGGTGGGATATACGGTATCGGCTGAGTGAGCATACAGGACGACAGCATCAGCTGACAGAGATAATCCTCAGGAAACACGGAGCAGCGCCGACAAGACGAATGCGTCAAGCGAGCATCCGATACAGCGCCCGCAGGCTGATTGCACCGGGCCCGAACACTGTGTTGAGGAGCCGATGAGGACGAGGCTATCGAAGCGGAGCAAACTCGAGAGCGTCCGACCCACAGGCTTCACGCTTCCCGGTCTTCCAAGAGAAACCCTCTGGTGCGTATGGTCGCCGTTGGACCCTTGGCCCGATGGAATTACGATAGGAGCGAGGCGGCGATTGCGCAAGACCTCGAAGAGTCGGCGACGATCCTAGACAACAATGCAGCCGTTGCGGACCGTCTGGCAAGGGTCCAGAGAACCGAAGAACTGCGGCGAGCGGTAGGGAGAGCCAAGAGACATACGCATGGAAATCAGGACATGACAAGGCATGAGGTCGAGTATAGGGCAGACAGAGAAGAGTTGACTTCGTCCTTTTTTTTCTGAACGTGCTCGTTTTGCGTATCCCGATGGACGCCACCACGTCAGCAATGCGTCATGCGCAGTTCTAGAAGGCGGGCCCCGCCCAAGACTTGTGTAAGCGCCGCCGTCAGTTCGGAGCAGAAGGAATGGACAGCAAAGTGCGTACTGTCGCCCGGTCAGATGCATGGGAGGGAAGAACACTAGTTCCTGCGACGATTAGAAAGGGTCTGTTGTGTAAGACAGGGACCCGTACGACGCCATAGCCTTGCTACGCCAGGGGACAGGGTTTGGACACTGAAACTTAGAGACAGCGGCAGATGTTGTAAGGGGTGTCAGTGGCAGACAACGTTGTGCGCCCTGAACTTCTCCATTTCAGAAACTATGATGGTCGTTCATGAGACATACAGTATCACTGCTAAGAAATCAGAAAAGACGGATTCAGGGTGCGCAATAGTCGAGAAGGGAGAGATGAAACAAGACTCACCGGCAGACCCTGAGCAATAACATCACGATTTGGTTGTAATGAACTTCTGTGTCCCTGGCTACGTGATAGCGCAGGGTGCATACGATCGCATATTTGAATGAACACCAGCCTAGACACGTCGGAGACACATACCGGTGAGAAAGACGTCGTTCTTCGCACGCCTACACGGTCACGCTGCCCCTTTTCCTTTTTCAATCCCACAACTTTGAGCTAGATGAAGTAGAGTGAATAGTACGTTCATGGCCGGGTAAAGACTGGGGCGTCGCTTCGGGCATACTGCGGGACGTTAAAGACACGTTTCGCCTGGAACTATAGATTTCTTTCCCGTTGCTATGTCGGCTGCTGCGCAGTCTGCACGAGGCCTTGTAAGGCAAGGTCGAAGTTGACGTATCCAGCAGTGGTCATTCCTGAAATCTACACATAAGTACACAGGTGCTTATAATGTATCCGACCGTCTATAGGTTTGCCACAGCAGGCGGGAGGTCTACGACCTTTCCAACAATGCTATACCGTTTCCTGAGTAGCACCGGGATGAGCGCAAACGATACGAGGACGGAGAGCAGACGACTTACGAGAAGAACTCGTGCCAGTCGTTGAGGACCTTCATATCGCTCTCTGACAAGGTGCTGTAGTCCGGAGACGCATCTTGCTCTTTCAAGCTCGACATGCCGAGAGCACGCGAGGCATCTCTGCCCGCGAAGAGGTTGTACGACCCGCCCTTGCCATACGTCTCGCGCTTGCGCGACACGTCGAACACGGTGCCTACTCGGGGTCGTCAGTCTCATAATTCGCATAGAATAGAGAGCTACGCACCTTTAATCGCAACGTAGATCGGTTTTGACGGGTCTGAGCCGTCGTACGGCTTCAGTTGTTCGAGCGTAAAGGGGTCGTCCTTGGGCGGCGCGAGGTCGTCGGGCGGCGGCTGCATGATAGTCTTGGGTTCCTCCTGTGCTTTCTCGCTCGTTCCTGCGGTTGCGCCTGTCGATGTTGGGTTCGCAGAACCCGCAAAGATTTTGCGATAGATAAAGACGGCCGGGATCGCGAGGACAAGGGCGGAGATGATCGTGTAGGTGGTCATGGGTGCGCTTCGGGAGTTCCCGAAGGAGGCAAGAGTGGACGCGATGCAGTCGCTGAGGCGGTGGTAAAGCGGGACAAGAGCCGTCGTGACGTGTTCAAAGTCGCACAAGAACTATCATTTCGCGGTATCTGGGAAGGGCGGTTCTTGTACAATATATGCAAGGTATGGGAACCTCAAGCATAGCTACTAGTGGTGGGAAAATTCCTAGCCTCTTGATGCTGAGTCTCGTCTATGAACCTTCGCTATTGGCCTCAATTCTGATGAGCTCCATTATCTGGAAAACATCGCCTTACAACCGTCCCGAAAGTTATCTCGCCACACGCAGTAACCTCCGAGCGAACTGAAAGCGAAATATTGCGACACTGTACGCCAGGCCCTCGTACAGACGCGGAGCCAGCCAGCCACAACATCGCACCGCCTCCGCAAACCAACGACATCCGAGCCAAATATGCCATAAGGGTGTTGGAGGTTCCGGGTGTCCTACTGCGGCGAGAGCATCTCATGGACAACTCTGTCGGTAGTCTCTACCTGTTGGTGTTGCGCAACTTATCTAGGCCTGGGAGACGGGAGCGAAGTGTCAAGGAGCAGGAGAGATGTCGAGACAGACATCTCTTATAAGACACTTTGCGGTGGATGGAGGTCATGCTCGTGAGCGGGGCAGCGTTCTTGGACAAGGCAAGAAAAGGACAGAGTTCCGCATCACCTCCCAAAACTGGCTTTTGAAGTATGTGCTGGCAAGAGCTAGCAGATGCGTAGCCTATGACTTGAGCTAGAATGGCAGTGGGCGCAGCAGGCGTGTGTCCAGGAAGTACGGTGAGGAGCCCATTGTCTATTGGCGAGATTGGCAGCTGACAGCACGACTGTTCGTTAATGCTCCTGCTGGACTCAAATGGCACGAATAGCTCTGGGATGGCAGCACTCAGCAACATTCATTAGTAGCCGATGAATAAGCCTAGTAGTGGTTGGTCAAAACATGGGTCTAAATTGCATCCCATCTAAGCCAACTGGTCCTTGAACTGACCGTAGTCTAAAGAGGGCCCAATCTTGAGCTATCTGCTATGAGATGCAGGGCTTCAGCTGGTACACTTTACTAAGTCCAATGCGATAGATTTCCTGTAATTTATTCTTTTTGTGATCGATGTTGTCGAGTCTGCATGAGATGAGGGAGCGGTCAGAGTTTGGCCGTATTTGGGCAGCAAGGTCGAGTTTTATAAGCGCCCATTCTCTGCCACCTGCCACACACCCGCTCCCAGTCCGAAGCGTTTCTCCACCACATCCTTGTATGATATGTCCAACGAAGACAAACCAGAGAGACAGCTGTTGGCAGACATAAATGCGCAGATTGTTCGTGCGCGGCGAGCCCAAGTGCGGACATCTGCTGTTGTCACACAAGTGAGTGTCTTGCATGCCGACGTTGCGCCAAGCGCGTTCACGAACGAAGCTTTGCAGCAAAAGGACACCCTCAAACGCCTCATTGATGCTGTGCACTCGTCGTACTCCTCGTTGAAAACCGTCGCTGCGCAGAATATCAAGTATTTCATCAAGGATTTTCCCGAACTTGAGGATGACGCTATAAACGCGGTGTACGACTTATGTGAAGACCAGGACCAGAAGGTGCGTCTGCGTCATCATCACACATATCCCCTTGTCATGATTCCGTCCTGCTAGGTACGCAAGGACGGATACCGCGCTATCACTTCCGTTTCGAGGGAACAGAGGAAGTGGGTGAAGCGCAACGCGGACGTCTTGGTACACTGCTTCAGAGCGGTAAGTGTCTATCTGC